CGGTCGGCGGTCGGCGGTCGGTGTACGGTCACGTGATTACCAAATTTTCTGGGATGGGTAGATTTACTTAGCAATGGGGCTCCGCCCACGCGCGCGCTTCGCGCGCGCGTGGAGCTCCGCTATTACATTAACATACCTTAATTCTAATTTGTTTATTCCTGAAGTTTTGCTTGGATGAGTGAAAACTTGTGATAAAGCAGCAATGTGAGCATCACCTGCACAACAAAAACAACACCACACAACAAAGTAAGCATGGTGTAAGAAAGAAGAAACGACACTTTTTCTCTACGGTTGACAATAACATTTATGGGGTGGTCATTAAAAGTCTGAGCATGCCAGCGGTTGCCAATGTGTATCGGTAAACAAATGTGAGCAACTACCCTGTATATTATAAGCATTCATTTCTTAACTAAAATTATGTGTGATTATGATCTACATGTATTTGAAGAAAGTGAACATGTTTCATTTACATGTACAAATAGTGTTGTGCAAGGCTGTCACTAAGTTTTCAAATTTCTGTGTTTATGGAAATTTTTTTATTAATGCACAACAGGTAGATGGGGAATTAAACAGCTTGCAGCATCGGATTTCATTTGGTTCTATTTTTCTTCTATTCTTTTCCTTTAATGAAATTAGCCAGGGAAGCACCCCTGCCCCCAGGAAGGCCGACAGCCCTGGTTGAGTCAGCATACTGCAATGTTTTGATGATTTAATTGAGGTTTGACTACATGCACAGACTTGAAAAAGCTCACCTAAAAGTTTTCTCCCAGCTTTAAGCTTGTTAAGGTGCTGTTGATGCACAAGGCATGAATTATGTCACCAAAGAACTCTAAATCTGAAACTGAGATAGAATAAAGAATGAAAAACACGACGCTTAATATGTTATAATGACTTACATTGTCAACCATTACAATGTGCTGACATGATATGTGCATATAACTTTGATAACTATATGAATAAATGATTATTCTTATGGAAGTGCATTCACATATGATTGGGAGCATGCAGAACAGGTTTTTCCATTTTTCAGTGAGTGAAAGCAAGTGGGAGGCCCCACGTTGCATGCCAACAAAAAACAACACCAACAATCATACAACAACAAGGCTGGTTCTGGAACCTGCAGATCAGAGGTTCTAATCAAATCTTTGAATACCATTATAGTTTTCCATCTCTAATAACAAAAATAGGAATTTAAGAATGTTGGTTTTTAAAAAGAGGATTAAAGCCACGTCAGCAACCCAGAGAAAAATTTAAGACAATTGTACCAAGCAGAACTAACAACAAATAATACACATATTAAACAGAAAAATGGCAATTGTCAACACTGAAGTACTTTCTTAGCTTTACCTCTGAGTCCACAACTGCTGAGATTCAAATCTGTGAGTGTTTTGTTTACTGTTAACATCTCAGTGCCAGCTTGTTATTTCTACTAGGATCATATCTGTTGCCTTTGACAGACAGCTGTTTCAGAGAGCTGTGACCTGATCAAAGAGCAAAATTATACCATGAAAGAATATTGAGACCAACAGTGAAAACCTATTATGTAACTTTAAAAGCGCGGTAAATTCCTTTAGATAAATATAATTGCGGAGTCTCAAAAAAGGCTTAAGGCTGAAGGGTTATGTCCAATATTGCATGTTAAATTAAACACAGTCATAGCCTGTTGTACCTTCTCTTAATTTTCTCTTCTTACTTAAGCTGATCTATATACATAAAAACCAAGGGACAATAACAATATTGATGGAGAGTGCAAGGGGTCAGGGAGGGTAAGTCTGTTCCTTTTTGTGTTCTCATCCATTCACTCTCTTGTTGAAATATTTTGAAAAAATCTGTAAATAGGATTATAGTCAGTGTTGTTACTATGTAATGTGTAAATAGTCATACCTGTTATGGCATTAAAGATGTCTCCTAGCCCTGCAGTTGAGATATTACAATTGACCAAACTCAGAGAAAGAAGTGAGCTATTACTTTGCAGTCCATCAGAGATCAAGCTTGCTCCTCTATCCCCAATTGGACAAGTCAATCGCAGTTCTTGGATGCCAACAAACTCTTTGGAACTGCAGCCATTAAACTGCATGATTCTACTGGAATCTAAAGCTGGAATTTCTGTCAAATTAGCCATGTTTGATGCTGCTTCAAAAGATCCTGGATAATTCTGATCAAAACCTGTTTTTGTACAGTTGTCATTCCTGTTAATGAAGTTCAAGTCACCATTGCCAGGCTCATTGAAACTTTCATGGCATGAACATGCCTCCCTAATTGAGCAGTCTTCTTGACAGTTGTCAGCTTCATTGTTTACACAGGAACCATTATGTAATGTGAATCTCTTATTTTTGACTGGAACCTGAAATTTTGTTTTTCTTTTACTTCTTAAGGAAATACCCAGATCCATGCATTCTGACTCGATAGAATCTTCACTATCTGTTGTCTTGGATTTAAGTGTAGAAGATGTCTCTAAATTCTTTAGTGAACAAACACAAACATCTTTTATTGCTGTTCTTAAATGTGCACAGAAGGCTTCAGACACTTGAAAGGAAGAAATTTTGAACTTTGTCAAAGACTTGGACTCTTGGTTACACTTGCAGCAAAATGAACCAATTAATTTTTCCACAAGAAACTTTGTGATGCTATCACTCACTAGGTTATTTGTGATTTTCAGGCAACGCAGTTTTCCTTGTGCGCAGAGGAGATAGAGTGTATCCATTAACTTCTGTGATAAGCTCAGAGGCTGGAAGCTTAGACCATTGTCTTCAAGTGTCAGTGACTTTAAGTTTTTCCACCATCTTAAACTATTAACAAACAGTTCAAGGAGATCTTGATGCAGCCAGAAGGCAGTCAGCTCAAAATGAACTAAAGAGCAGCCAACATTTGATAAACTGTGAAACAGTGAAAGTGGTTTTGTAGGTTTAGTAGCTATAGGGATAACTTGACAGTGGTCTGAGGTTTTATCTGTGTCTTGTTGACTGTCATTTACTTGCAAAAGCTCTCTTGGGACTTCTTTACAATCCTGTCCATGGTTACAGCAGCTAAACACTGCATCAAAGAGATCTGGACTAGAACTTGAAGAGGCTTCACTTGTGCCTAACTGAGGTAAACATCCAGTGCAACTACTCCAGGATGATTCAGAGAATTTTCTACATCTCTTTGGAAAAACCGACAAGTCATCATCAGTAAACTCATAAATGTTAACATCATCTAAGACACTTGGAGGAGATGTACAATTTCCCATTTCACTAATTAATTTCCATGGTAGGGATTGATTAGGATCATCATAGTCTTCAAAAGGAACACTTTCCTCCTTTTCTATCTCAGTAATGTTGCAACCATTTTCTTGTAATGGTAACAAGGAACAAAATATTTTACTCCACAATTCAACACTGTTTACTTTGCAAAAACAGAATCCAATAGATGTCGGTCTCTTTGATATAAATACTTGAAGGAGATGACACAGTGGCTCAACTCCATTGTTTCTAAGTATGAAAATTTCTAGAAATTCAACACACTCAGCAAGTTGCTCAACAATATCCCAGTTCTTTGCCAGATAAATAATTGATGGATTATAAAGCCTAAGATATGCGGCATATCTTGCACAAGCTGAAATTATCTTTTGCAATTTGTAGTTATCACTTTCTGAAATGAAAAAGAAGTGAACATGTTATTTAAATGGCATTATCTTTAAAACTATGATTTATTACTGTGGCGTACAATTAGAGAAGCCTGCAATCCTAATCTCCAGGTTATATTTACACATGCATCGCACATATGTAGCCAGCATTCGTTTGGACTTCCACTAAGAATGCAATTTGATCACATGCATTCAGAGCTTATATCACTCGTAACCTGATCATGCATGTTGTGACCATCTATCACGTGAAACTTACTCAAAGCACATCATTGAAGCAAAAGCGTTTTGACCTTCGATCATTGTTGCTCGCTCTCTGTAACCTTTGGTTATTATTAGTAACAGTTCATTATTATCATATTTCGTACCTGCAGATGACGAACATATTTTTAAACCACTGACATTACCTCCATTAACAGCCTCTTGCAGTAGTCTTTGAAGGTAATAAATCTTCCAAAGTTCTTGTTCTCGTGTGATTCCCTTTGTTTTAAAGTATACCTCGGGCCACTTACTCTTTCTTGGCCACTTTGCAGTATAAATCTTTCTCCAGAGTGGATTAGTGTCAATTCCTTTCAATTAGTTTTCGGAAAGAAATAGATAAAAACATGTTAAAAAGATTGATGTACCAGAGTGCAGACTCATGAAGTTGGTCTGTGACAGGAAAATTTATTGTATTCAAAAAAAATACCACATAAAACTTGAAATGTATAAAGTTCTATTAACAAGACATTTTTTTCCCACATACTCATTGCTTTGAAAATACTGGAGACTTCAAGTTTCTCAATGTCTAGAGGATCAAGGTTTTCCAAAATTGGCAGGAGAAGATGTCCTGGAATTCCTTGAAAAAAAAAAGGAATAGCATTAACGCAGCTCAAAAGAAGCTTAAGACAAGTTAAATCTTAAACTAATAAACAAGCTGTGAGCAAGCCATTTGATATAATATTGAGACAAGAACTAGGAGAAATCATATTGCAAAATTTGAAATTTGGATATAAACACATGATCTGGAAACAGTGGTTTCACTGTTCGGCACATCATAAAAATTGCTATTTTACTGCGGATTGGTTAAAGCAATCATGATATTTTACCTAAAAATTTTTCAGGTTTCCAGTATTTCACATTAACACGGATGAACTGAACGCATAAATCCTCAAGTTTAGGAAAATGGGCCACATACTCGCAGTTATCCGCCATATTGTGAAGAGTGTCAGAGTGAGATCTGGTAACAAACATTTCCCCAGTGCTTTCTCGGTTAGGGTTTTCCTCGCAATGTGTGATGGGTAGGGACGTTTACTTCCTCATCATCCTGTAAAATGGATTGTCTTGGTGAATCGATGTCTTTAGATCCTTCCAAACATCGTCAAGAACTCTTGGAGCGTTTGGATATCCTGAGAAACAACGATATCTTTTGTGACGTGACGATCGCAGTAAAGGACAAAGAGTTCAAGGCTCACAGAGCTGTTTTAGCGGCAACCAGCCCGTTCTTTCTGACACTTCTGACAAGCGAAATGAAAGAAGGCAACGAAAAACTGATCAAAGTAGAGCTAGAAGAAGCTACTGAGTCTGTCATGGAAGACGCGCTAGAGTACCTTTACACTGGAAATGTCACAGTCGTTGAGGGCAGAGCTCACAATTTGATTGCAACGGCAAACTTTCTCCTTTTGCCAAGTCTAAAAACAATGGCGGCCAATGTTTTGAAGGACACATTGACAACAGAGAACTGTGTTTTCAATTATTATTTTGCGGAAAAGTATGATTGTGTGGAGCTGAAGGATAAATGCCGTGAAGTAATCAACACAAATTTCAGTGTTGTCATGGAAACAGAGGACTTTCTCAAGCTTGATCAGAAGCAAGTTATGGAGTGGGTGTCTAGTGATGACGTCATTGTGAACGAAGAGGAAGACATTTTCAAAGGAATTGTCAGGTGGGTGTCTCACAACAAAAGTGAGAGAGAAGGGGATTTCCCAGAATTATTGCACCAGGTTCGCCTACCATTTTTATCACGTGACTTTTTACTTGATGAATTAGTAAAAGATGAGCTGATCACGAAAAACCCTGTATTTTGCTCAAATTTTGTGATAAATGCTATGAAAGTAGTATTGAGTGCCAGTGATAGTCCCCAGCAACCGAGGAAATGTCAGGAGACTCACATTGATGGAATATTTATCTGTGGAGGGAAAAGAGCATTGTGTTACTTTCCACAGAAAGACATGTGGTGCTGTTTAGCTGACAGTCCTTTTCAGGATTACGAAGGCCATAGCCTTGTTGAATATAAAAGTAATGTTTATGTTGCTGATGGAGAAACACGTCGGCTTGGGGAATCACATGTTTTCGAATTTTACTCACCTCTGAAGAACTCCTGGGGTACTGCTCAGAGAAATGATGATATTACTGATTTCACCTGCTTGACAGTCTTAAAAGGTGACATGTATGCAATGTGTTTTGCAAACTTTCCCAAAAAGGGTAGGATCTGTAGATATGACAGTGAAAAAAACTGTTGGCAAGAGATGGATGCCCCACCCTGCCTGCAGGACAGAGCTTGTGTTGTGGCTGACGAGCAGTTCCTGTACATAATAGGTGGTACATTGGATTGGGGAGTAAGTGCTGTGCGTACAACGAATAGATTTGATCCCATCAACAACAAATTGGAGGAGCTTGCAGATATAAATCGGGCCAGGTATAATGCCAGTGGTGCTGCCATAAACGGCAAGGTTTTTATTGCTGGTGGACAGAGCTCAAGAAAGACTATGGTCCGATCTACTGAAGCTTTTGATCCCTCATCCAACGAGTGGCAGTGTATGACCGATCTCACTTTACCTCACTTCAATGCCAGCATGGTGTGCTTTGGGGGGATGCTGTTTGTTTTGGGTGGCACTACGTACACTAAGAGTGATGGAATAACACGAACACTAACAGTTGAAATGNGTGCTGTGCGTACAACGAATAGATTTGATCCCATCAACAACAAATTGGAGGAGCTTGCAGATATAAATCGGGCCAGGTATAATGCCAGTGGTGCTGCCATAAACGGCAAGGTTTTTATTGCTGGTGGACAGAGCTCAAGAAAGACTATGGTCCGATCTACTGAAGCTTTTGATCCCTCATCCAACGAGTGGCAGTGTATGACCGATCTCACTTTACCTCACTTCAATGCCAGCATGGTGTGCTTTGGGGGGATGCTGTTTGTTTTGGGTGGCACTACGTACACTAAGAGTGATGGAATAACACGAACACTAACAGTTGAAATGTTTGATCCAGGGATCAACGAGTGGAAAGTGAAATCATCCATACCTGTTGAAAGCCTTGAAATGCCACAGAAAAAGAACAAGTATCAGGCTTGTTTTGCAAAGTTTAACAAGAAAATGGTTGAAAAGCTGCAACCGCTGTCAAACTAATATGTAGTTCTAGTTCAAGGCTATTAATTATGGGATCTCTAAGGTGATAACATAAGTTCTGCTTTTGTTATATTAGATATTGCTGTGCTCTTTTATGTTTTAGAAGAAAACAAAGGAATGATTTTCAATTATTTAAACCAGGTTTTGACTTTTAATTAGTACATATATGACTAGAGTTGATCAAGTGACAGTGTTTACACTCGATTTTGCTTTTATATTTGTCAAGTTATCAGAGGTTAAACCTTCAGTGAATGATTGTGATTTTGATTTTCAGCTCTGTTATATGGAAAACCAAGTACCTAAAAAAATGTAAGTCAGCGAGCTATGCCAGGCAGACCTACGAGGCATCTAAAAACACACAAGGCACAAACGATTCGTTAGTAAAAAAGACCAACAGGCCTTGAACGACTCCTGCCATTCGTAAAGGAATTTTCTTTCACCCGTCACAGATTCATTTCCACTAAAGGGTCCTAAAGCTACTTTAAAGGCCGATTTAGACAGTAAAATTTTTGCTTACGACTATCGTGCGCGACTATTATGCGTCATGACTGTAAATTAGACCCACGACAGTCGTAGGAGACCAAAAATCGTACTGTCTGAATCGGCCGCGGTATGAAAGGAGGGTTCTTAAAATTTTCTCTTAGATGTTAGTTTCAGTATGAAAGATTCTTTTGAACGCTGGTTGTGCTTCATGCGTTGATTAATGCTTATCTCGATTTGCTAGTGTAAGTTCTTGTCGAGGATCGAGGGTGAAGTTTCGAGGGTCAAGGGAAAATGTCGAGGGTTGCGGGTAATATATATTTTATTTTCAAATATTTTAATATGTTCTAATATTATCATTCACTTTTTATACTTATTATTGTTTATTTTTTGATAAACCTATTTCTTTTTTTTCGATCTGGTCGCAAGATTTCCCATCTTTCTCGAATTGATAGAAATACCTAGATGCTACTATGACGATTCCACTCTGCCGCACCTTTTATTTCACCCTCTTATAAGTAACTTTTGTAAGAAGTCTAAGTCTTTTACCTACATACCGTTATAGTAAAAAAAATGCGTTGGTAGGCCTCACGACTTCTACCTCATAGAGTATAATGCTAGTTGTTCCAAACTGTTTTCTCATGTCTAACGGGTAGATTGTATCACCTATAATTGTAACATGTTGTAATAATGAACCATAAATGTAACACTAACCATACCCACCGTCATGAAAACCAACCATAAATGTAATGAACTAAAAACAATGAATGAAACAAAATTTTAACCGTAAATGTGATGAACAAAAATCGTACGCTACCGACATTTCCGGATTATAATCCGGCTCCTGGTAACAGCTTAGAGAGTTCCAACAGAGGTTAAACAATGCAAACGCAATGGAAACGATAGCGATCGAGGAAGCGTGAAGAACACATGCAAAGTTGGCTGACAGCAGGACAAAACTGATTATTATTTGGGCGTGGCCCAAATAGAGTAATGGAAACGGCTTGTTTTGACGCAAATGTGCAATAGGTACGCAATACGTGCTAACGTAAACAAGGCAAGTAAACAAGCGAAGCGAGGCGAATGTCTGCCATGCGAACGTCTTTTACAAGGTAAGAGGCATGTGGGAAAGAAAGCTCTGCTTGCTCACGGCACTTAATCGCACTTTTACGATCTCTAAAGTTAATGTGAATCTTCGGTATTATGGCCTCATCGAAATTCGGAAGTCTGAAGTCCAGGGATGAAATCTATCAAAAACATTTGGAATATTAACGTCGGGTTTTGGTCACAATAAGATCGCAAGCAACGAACCTTGAAACACAGAAACACAAAAAACGGATCGAAATCCACCAATCACAAATCATAAACAATGACCTTTTGAACCCGTTGAAGAAAACTTTCCTTTCCTAAGAGGTCCGCTGAGATGATTGACGTCTGACATTTTTTTGACGAGAGGATCGAAATGCACCAATCATACAAAGGCAGTTTTAATTGCATGTTTCCTACGAGGTCATCTGAATTGGCTGTTTTCTTTATTTTATGTCCATTTTTTGTGATTGGTCGATTTTGTTAGGTCGAGTTGATGATCGAATGAGGGACGATTTGGATATCGTTTGATCGGAAATTTTTCGAAGCAGCAGTGAGAAGCAGTTTTGATAACATTTGGCCGCGGCGTTTCGGGGAATGTATTGATATATTGTTCAATCATGTTATCCCGGGTTAAACTTACAAATGCACACACTGTTCGCGGTAGGCCCACACTAAAAAAATAACACTGAGTGTTTTCGGAATGGGCTGGTCCGCGAACTCAAAGAAAAACAAAGGAAATTATCAAGACATTCAATGACATCGAAGACTCATGGACCCCATAGACGTAATAACAAATCGGAATATCAGGAGTGTACGTGTAAAATGGATAAGAGTTTGAATAGAGGAATGTTGAACGAGTTTGAGAGTCGCAAGATTTGTGTAGCCGGTTATCAGTGTGACAATAGTGATTTTGATTTTGCGTTGCGGAACACAGCGAGTTGCCTGTGATAAAAATCTGTTCCAATGAAGGAAGAGACGATTGTCAACAATTGAAACCAAAAGGGACTGAGGCTTCTTTTGGAACTACTGTGATAACTGCAACAATTCTTCTTCAATTTTGTTTATCAGGGTGACGGTTAATGTACTTGTTTTTGTATTGCGTGTTGTGATTTTTCATACGATGCTGTGCGTCGGGATTTTGCATTATCAGCAAGTTTTGTGTTAGAGTGTTTTGATGGCAGCGAGGTGACGACAAGAGAAGGTAATGAGCTAGTTGTACAGAAGGAAAATTGTGTTGTGGAGGAAATAAAACAAGTTGAATTGAGTTCTCGTGGTGGGAAATTTATTACTTCGGCGGAGCGCGAAGTAAAGGATTCGCGACGCTCAGGAATGTATCAAAGTTGCAATTTTTTGACAAGATTGGGCAAGCAAAGTCTGTAGGTTTTCGGCTGTATTCGGCTATTTGACGAAGTGAGAGCCGAATTAGTTCGAGATATCTCGAGGTCACTTCGATTTTTTTGATTTATTCTTTAATTTTTTCGAGGAAGAAAGAAATACTATTTGGCCTTCCCGGGATTTGAACCGACTCACCTGTGTGACCCGTCAGATCAGAGGAGACTCTAAGTTGAGGGATTAGCCGATTGCGCTACTGCGACCCAAGGTAATTTAGGCTATGAAAAATATTTATGAAATGATGCACTAGTTTCGGGACAAGATTGGGCGTGCAAGCTCGTGACTATTCGGCTTGTTTCAACTATTTCACGAAATGAGATCGGACTACTTCGTGATATCTTGAGATCACTTCGAGTTTAGTCTTAAATTACTCGAGGAATAAATAGAGGATATTTCGTGGCCGCGCAGAGACACGAAATTTCTCTTCGAGTGTTGAAAAACATTTCACGAGTGAGCCCTCGTTTCGAACTGTTTTATGATGAATTTAAAGTTACAAAATGCTGCACAAAGACATTTTGTCTTTGTTGAGTGTTACGTAGTAAAATTGCTTTCATGCGTTGCGTGACTTTCTCGAACGTTCTCTCATTTTTTGGATTATCCATGAACAATTAATTAGGGCATGTTTACATTTCAGCATGAGTCAGCAGATTTGCATCAGTAACTGAAATCATAAAATATGTCAAAAAGCTACTACTATTCCCCTGTTTAGTATTTTCTAGAACCTTATGTCAAACAGTATACAAGTTCCAAGCGAGTTCTTTTGACGAACTAAGTTTTTTCCCACGAGCTGGACTGCTGTCTTTAGTCAAGTGTGACGAAGGTCGATTTTCAGGTTCTGTGTTTACAAGTTCGCGGAAGCCGTAAGATATCTGAAGTTCAAGTGAGAGTTTGTTATTATTGGTAGAGGCTGTTTAGTTTTACTCAAAGTTCAAGTCAAGTTTGTGTTGGCGGATGCTGTGTTTTAAAGCTCTGTAAAGGCTATGTTCCTTTGGTGTTAAACTTCCTGGTGTTAATCCGACATCCCTGCGTGCTGATAGTCAGTGAATAATTATCCTCAAAACATTCGAACTCGTGACTATGAGTTTTAGCCCATTCCATGCTCAACGTAATTGACTCCTTACCCATGCCTTACATATCTTTAATCAGTACATAAGACTGCTATGCTGTTTTTGAAGCCTGAGGTGACTACGAAAAATAGAGAATTGTTTTTTAGAAGGATTTGTATGGAGTCATCAGAGCATAACTGGGCTAATATCGCGGAGACAATTTGTCCTGAAATGCTAGTTTTTGGCAAGTAGGCCTCTTGGATGTTGCTCTTTTCAGAATATCCTGACAAATCCCATAATTTCACACCTTACTCTTACCATATTTGATTTCTTACTATTCCTCTGCATTTACAATTAATTAGTTCCACAACCACGACGCCGAAGTGTACGCTAGCTCCGTAGCGTCTTGTTTATAACAGAACTTACAATTTAGTCCATTATATTTTCGGCACAACAAATTACCATAAAATCGAGATTGTAATTCGAAACTCGCGTTGTTTTCAAAATTTGCATAAATCGGGCGCTGCAAAGAAATATTTAGATTACAAGCGCTTCGAAATACTGTACCTTCAGAACGGCATAGCTTTTACTTGTTGTGCTATATCTTTCAAAACTATCGATCGATTCTAGCTCAAAAACTCTCAAAAGCAGCGGTTTAATTAAATGTCAAAGCCCGTGGCTGGTTGAAATCGTCTCTTGTTTGTTTTCAAACGATTTAGGATGGATCGAATCAACTTTGGATCGATTTATATTATTTTATCACCTTGAGGTATGAACGAAACGTTTTTCTTCTAGATAAAGTTCACTCAACAAATTTAGAAAGATTTACTTGACTTTTCATAGGTGGAACGAACTGACTTCTTTGTGGAACGAACTGACTATTTTATGGAACGATCTGATTATTGATTGGAACGATCTGACTTGGAACGATGTCAACGATCTGACAATGGGACGAAATGACAGGTTATCGTCATGCCCCTAGCAGACTACCAATGAACAAATTAAAAGATTTGTTACAGAAAACACGGAAAGTGACACTTTTTGTATGGAAGAGTATTCGGAAAAATACACCATTGTCGTCTGAAATTCATTGTTACGTTAAAAGTAGAAAGGGTTTACACTTAAACAGGTACAGAAGTAACTGTAACAGTGTGAGGTTTTTAGTTAAGGGGCAACTCCAAAACTGGTTCGTAAACGAGGGAAGGTGTATCTGTCGTCCAAGCATCAGAGCACAGGCGATTTAGGTGGAATGAGATATCCAAATAGGCTTCTAAGTAAGAATTTGCCCCTCTGTATATGTAATTATCCATTTTGTACTGCTTAAAACAGTTTGAATCACCGGGTTAATTTTGGCCAATTTAAGCTTTGTATTGATATAGAGAAGAATCCAGGACCTTCAGTTTATGTAGATGCTGCAAAAAACAATTAATGCAGTCCATACTGTCAAGGAAATGTTACAGGATTTGGGGAAAATGTTGGACAACGATGTGTCGCAATGAGTCTGTGCGCTTTAATTTACAGTAATATAACAAAGATTACTTCAGTTGATGATATGACTCAAATAATGATTGTTGGTATTCAACTATATTCTTGTCTGTCACTGCTTGCAAGACAATCTATGTCAATGTTAACAGAATTGCCAGGAATGGTTACAGTGTTTGAGCAATTTTTCCACCTTGAATACAGTGACAGTTATACTTGTAACATCCATCACTACTGTATATGCCACTCACAGGTTACAGCATTTGAAACACTCTTGGCACAGAACTACAACTCAATCATTTTAACGGTGGCAATTATTGGTGTTGGTATCTACAGCACTGAGGCTGGGGGATATAATGCATTTGATTCTCATGCTAGAGATATGTATCATAACAGTCATAGTGAAAGGACATGTGTATTGTTGGAAATACCATCCATGCATAAATTAGTACAATATTTTCAGACTCTACATAGGAGTGAGGATATGTATGAACTTAAAGGTGTACATATTGCCGCCTATGAACCTCATCTTTTCTCAAGCAATGTTGAAAATTGTAGTATATCAAATGTTAATAGTTACCAATGTTCCTGTAAACAGTGCTGCACTACAGCAGTTTATGCAATGTGTTACTCTGTTATTAAATCCTTGTGGATACTGGACTGAAGGAACTTTATTTTCCCTTGTTAGTAACCGGAATACACTGTACAAAGTGATGGGTGTGAAAACACATCTGTCAGTATCAGTGAAGCTGAGATAAACCTTACTCTCTGGGCTGTAACCACTTACGTCCTATGTTGTAATTTTGCTCCAAGTATGTCTGCATTGAAGATGTGCATATTTTCAAACATTGTCGTGAAATGACACTATTTTTGTTGTGGATTGGGACATACTGTAGAAGCTGTGTGGTTCAGCAAACAAGTGGAGTAAAGGATTTGTCTTCTCTGGTAAGATATTTACTGCAATAAGGCATGTTCAAAGTATCATACCCGTAGTACGACCACGCCCAAATATACGCTCACACAGCGTCTTGTTTTTTCATCAGTTTCGACAAAATGTTAAAAACAATATTAACACTAGTACTCGGAATTTGGCAGAGACAACGAAGGATCAGTGGGCTCCAAATAAGACTCAGGATTAACATCGACAACAGGAATATGTGCTAATACTTGCGCAACGTTTGTAAAGTGATGGTTAATAGTTTCCGCAATGTCCATATAATAATATAATATGATATGATATGATATGATATGATATGATATGATATGATATGATATGATATGATATGATATGATATGATATAATATAATATTATATTATACTATATTATATTTAATAATTATTCCATGAGGGCGCGTTGGATATGAGATGATAGATAGCCAACGAGGCGCGTAGCGCCGAGTTGGCTATAATCATCTCATATCCAACAAGCGCGAGTGGAATAATTGTTTTATTCAAAACGCCCACAAAATCTGGTTGAATCTTCCCCACTAAAACAAACCGGAAAGACAAGGGACTTCCGCTATTCACATGTCACACGTCTATCAAAACTGTCAACACGCGAACGGACTCACATGGACTGCATGAATGAAAAATCAAAACATTGTAGCGATGAACATTAGTTTTTTTTTAAACTCATCGGGATTCTAGGATTTTACTCAGCAGAACAGCTAAAAAAAACCTGGCAGATAATGTGAAGGAAAAGAATTTTTAAGTGACAGCCGTCGAAATTACTGTGAATTTGGATTTTCGGTGCAGTTATAAAAGTAAGAACAACGGAGGAAAACTATTACCTCGGTCGCTTGTTATGAAGTTGTTTGAAGCCACAAGCTGGTTTTTCTGAACGAGAAAAGAAGCTATATTGCCGCCTCGATTGCTCTAGTGAATGGCTGCATAGCCTGTATTTGTAGCTGGTTACTTGTGATTTATATTCTTGATGTCGGATAAACAAGCCGCAGTTATCTATCGGCGAGTGACTCGATCGGCGAATGGCTTCGCGATCATGAAGAAACAACACTTGTCTTCTTTCGTAGCCGGTGAAGGTACTTTAGTTCCATGTTTTTTTAATGTGTTTTCGACAAACTTTCAAACAAGCTCTTGTGGCCTTTTTGTTTGTTTTTGTCTTTTTTCTTTCGATGAAATTGCATTTCTAGTATTCTAAGAAATGAATTAAAAAGATTTGCTTCGGGCGCCGTTCTATCCTTCGCGAAAAAAAATCTTAGCTAGCTTCCAATTTTAAACTGACGCGTACACCGACCATATATGGAGAGCATGGTATAATAACTCATATACGATAACGGCTAAGCCAATAAAATGCTAGAATTGCATTATCCAATGATTCAGTTTTTAATAAAATATAATATAATTGCCCCCGCAGGGTTCCGGCCCAGAGGCCGGAACCCGAGGAGGCACCCTAATGTCCCCCGCGTAAAGAAGAAGTATCGTATCGTCTTACTGTTAGTATGCGAAACTTTCCCGTTCGTCAAGAACTTCTAGAGCGTCTGGATATCTTGAGAAACAACGATAGCTTTTGTGACATGACGATCGCCAGTAAAGGACAAAGAGTTCAAAGCTCACAGAGCTGTTTTAGCGGCGGCCAGCCCGTTCTTTCTGACCCTTCTAACAAGCAACATGAAAGAAAGCAACGAACAACTGATCAAAGTAGAGCTAGAAGAAGCCACTGAAACTGTCATGGAAGATGCGCTAAAGTACCTTTACACTGGGAATGTCACAGTCGTTGAGGAGAGAGCTCACAATTTGATTGCAACGGCAAATTTTCTTCTTTTGCCAAGTCCAAAAACAATGGCGGCCAATGTTTTGAAGGAGACTGTGACAACAGAGAACTGTGTTTTCAATTATTATTTTGCGGAGAAGTATGAGGTGGTGGAGCCGAAGGAAAAATGCCGTGAAGTGATCAAAAGTGCAGCCTGTGTTTGTTAGCTCTACCTAAAGAATCACTGGGTTACACTGCACCCATGGGTGTGCCACCGAAAGTGCAGCCTATGTTTGTAAGCTCTGCCTAAAGAATCACTGGGTCACACTGCACCCATGGGTGTGCCACCTAAAGTGCAGCCTATGTTTGTTAGCTCTACCTAAAGAATCACTGGGTTACATTGCACTCATGGATTTGCCACCTAAAGTGCAGCCTATGTTTGTTATCTCTACCTAAAGAATGACTGGGTTACACTGCACCCATGGGTGTGCCACCTAAAGTGCAGCCTATGTTTGTTAGCTCTACCTAAAGAATCACTGGCTTACACCGTACGCACGGACGTTTGCCTCGCGCTCTCTTCAAAGAAAGAAAAGCTATAGTCTGTTTCGCCAAAAATCAAGCTTTGTTTCCTCCCAAAAAATTGACACCATATTGGGCCCCGAAAGACGTTAAAAGTTCCTTCATAATAGAAGAGTTTTTTGCTAGAGTAAAGAAGTTTGGCTTACATGAGTTTCAAAAAAAGGTGCAAAAACTTATCAGCATAATTATAGCCCACAGATACATTGTCATCAGACTCCTGGCATGTAGCCTGAATAAGCCAAGTAAAGTAAATAATACTTCACTTCGCGAAAGAACTTTATCGCTTGTATCCGTGTTACGCATCGAAAAAGCGAGAGTCATCGCGTGACATCAGGTAACAGAGGTAATACTCACGGGTTTCACGAATTCCAATTCCACGATTTTTCGCCGAGTAACAAATTTAAAACTTCAATTCTTACCTTACAGTTGTCGCTTCATTTACCTTACATTCGCCAACACTAGTAAACATAAACAAAACGATGAAATCCGGCACTCTTCTTTCAGGAGTAGCAAGCCGCATGAAGTAAAATCCACCGATATGCGCTGCATTCTCACTACAAATATAAACATTTGTCGTGGAGAAAATACGACGAGGAGAAAAAAAATGCCAGATCTTCGCCTCGGCAATGTATTCCAGCTACCAAGCCGGTGTATCTCCAGAAGGTGGACTCGAAGTGGAACAAACCTTGTGATTTTTTTAGAAGCCCTTTGCGCGCAAACTAATTTATTCTGGAGCGAAATGAAGATTAAGAAAATGTATCTGAAATCTAATACACGACAAGAAAATTTTCGCACTTTCGAGGAGCGCGACATATTAAATGGGATTAAGTCGGATTAGCTGCCCGCGGAGAAAACATCCCTGCGTGGGATTGTACTTCCAGTAAAAAGCCTGTGTCCTCTCAGGCAGCAACGTGGATCGACAGAACTTTGAACTGGTTTTGTCAATGTGGATCGACAAACTCGATTCAAACCACATCAGGAATTGCTCATTTTCTCAAAACCCAGTCAAAGACAAGAAAGGTGCTAACGTGAAATAAACTGACAACAGTCACAACGGTGACAACAGTGACAACGGTGACAACGACGACAATGGTGACATTAATGACAACAGTGACAACGATGACAACGGTGACAACAGTGACAACGGTGACAACAGTGTCAATGTTGTCACTGTTGACACCGTTGTCACTGTTGTCAATGTTGTCACCGTTGTCACCGTTGTCAGTGTTGTCACCGTTGTCACTGTTGTCACTGTTGTCACCGTTGTCACTGTTGCCACCATTGTCACCGTTGTCACTGTTCTCACGGTTGTCACCGTTGTAACTGTTGTCACCGTTGTAACCGTTGTCACGGTTGTCACTGTTGTCACTGTTGTCACCGTTGTCACTGTTGTCACTGTTGTCACTGTTGAAACCGTTTTCACCGTTGTCACTGTTGTCACCGTTGTCACTGTTGTCACCGTTGTCACCGTTGTCACCGTTGTCACTGTTGTCACCGTTGTCACCGTTGTCACTGTTGTCACTGTTGTCACCGTTGTCACCGTTGTCACTGTTGTCACTGTTGTCACCGTTGTCACTGTTGTCACCGTTGTCACTGTTGTCACTGTTGTCATCGTTGTCACTGTTGTCACTGTTGTCACCGTTGTCACTGTTGTCACCGTTGTCACTGTTGTCACTGTTGTCACCGTTGTCACTGTTGTCACTGTTGTCACCGTTGTCACTGTTGTCACTGTTGTCACCGTTGTCACTGTTGTCACTGTTGTCACCGTTGTCACTGTTGTCACTGTTGTCACCGTTGTCACTGTTGTCACTGTTGTCACCGTTGTCACTGTTGTCACTGTTGTCACCGTTGTCACTGTTGTCACTGTTGTCACCGTTGTCACTGTTGTCACTGTTGTCACCGTTGTCACTGTTGTCACTGTTGTCACCGTTGTCACTGTTGTCACTGTTGTCACCGTTGTCACTGTTGTCACTGTTGTCACCGTTGTCACTGTTGTCACTGTTGTCACCGTTGTCACTGTTGTCACTGTTGTCACCGTTGTCACTGTTGTCACTGTTGTCACCGTTGTCACTGTTGTCACTGTTGTCACCGTTGTCACTGTTGTCACTGTTGTCACCGTTGTCACTGTTGTCACTGTTGTCACCGTTGTCACTGTTGTCACTGTTGTCACCGTTGTCACTGTTGTCACTGTTGTCACCGTTGTCACTGTTGTCACCGTTGTCACCGTTGTCACTGTTGTCACCGTTGTCACTGTTGTCACTGTTGTCACCGTTGTCACCGTTGTCACTGTTGTCACCATTGTCACTGTTGTAACCGTTGTCACTGTTCTCACCATTGTCACTTTTGTCATTGTTGTCACCGTTGTCACCGTTGTCACTGTTGTCACTGTTGTCACCATTGTCACCGTTGTCACTGTTGTCACGGTTGTCACTGTTGTCACTGTTGTCACCGTTGTCACCGTTGTGACTGTTGTCACTGCTGTCACTGTTGTCACCGTTGTCACTGTTGTCACTGTTGTCCCCGTTGTCACCGTTGTCACTGTTGTCACCATTGTCACTGTTGTCACTGTTGTCACTGTTGTCACTGTTGTCACTGTTGTCACCGTTGTCGCCGTTGTCACTGTTTTCACCGTTATCGCTGTGGTCACTGTTGTTATCCTTGTCATCGTAGTCACCGTTTTCACTGTTCCCGTTCGAAACGAGCAGCGCTGCTGCAGCGCTGCAGAATGGCTTCAAGAAGCGCTACAAAAGAGCTGTAAAAGCGCTGGGCTGCAGCAGCCGGAAATTTTGGCTGCAGTGGAAAGCTCTCTGACAGCGATAAAACAGCGCTTTTGCAGCGGTGCAGAAAATTCCCGAATCACGATCTGCGCTGCAAAGTGGCTTCGAAAAGACTAAGAATGTTGTTACCGGTAATGGCCTACCACTCGTTAGTACAAAAAAAAAAAGAAATGCAGGCTCCAATAATACAATAATCACGATACATGGTAGAGGAGTTGACAAGGCCTTAGTAGCAGAGTAAAAACCACTAGAAAGTCAAAATGCAACTTATACTTTATTAGTATCCACGCGTACACGTTACAAAAGTACGTGACATAGAACAAATCTGCAACAGTCTCGCTTTGTAAATATTTAGCATTCACGGTCACTCATCTGAATGTAAGAACAATCATTAACATGCAGACATTGAAAATTATCTTTTTTAAAAATAAAAAGAATAACAGCGATTGTTCTACATAAAGTTTACACGGACAGCAGGCAAATGATATTTGATTCGTTGCAACGGGCTAAGCTGGACATTGCTCACCTTGACGTTTTGTCCATGATCCACGATCTTCTACACTTTTTTCATGAAAGAAATCAACCTAATTTTACTTTGGTCGTCGTTAAATTTTACAATGGACTAAGGAAGGAACATTACCACTAGCGTATAAGAATCTTGTAAGTGCGAACTCCATCTGAGATTCTTGTATCTGTGTTGCTTGCTCTGGTTCGATTCGTCGATACTTAGCGTAGAAGTCACTGTTCAGTGCGTTGTTTGCAAATACGTTTGTTGTCACAGGTGTCACTGTTGTCACTGTTGTCACCGTTGTCACTGTTGTCACCGTTGTCACCGCTGTCACCGTTTTCACCGTTGTCACCGTTGTCACTGTTGTCACTGTTGTCACCGTTGTCACTGTTGTCACCGTTGTCACTGTTGTCACCGTTGTCACCGTTGTCACCGTTGCCACTGTTGTCACTGTTATCACTCTTGTCACCGTTGTGACCGGTGTCACTGTTGTCACAGTTGTCACTGTTGTCACCGTTGTCACCGTTATCACTGTTGTCACCGTTATCACTGTTGTCACCGGTGTCACTGCATTTCAAAGGTTCATGACAAATACATGGACAACCACAAGGAGTCTTCATTCGGGTTTTAAAAGGTCGGGGGCAGATTTAGTGACAACTATAACTAGTATAATATAATGGGGGGGGGGGACAGAAACCCATAAGGGGTTGAGACAGGGCGGATAAAGGTTGGGCGGTGAAACGAGCGCGTCCGAGCTAAAAGGTGTGATGCAGTGGACTGGGACTCTGCTTAGAAATGTCGCTTGTTTTCGACTTCGGTCAGGGCTTGCGATGTGGTTTGTCCATTAGACACTGCCGCTGTCACGGAATTATGGCGACTTTATTGTTTTCTTGCACTTCTTCCTCGTTCCTTTGTGCTGGTACGCTCTCCGAGAGGCAAATGTTGCTATTTTTTGCGAAACATTTAATTGGAGTAGACAAACATCTCTTTCAAAGGGTTTCTCTTATTACTTCCATGGTCTTCCATGACTCTACCACGGAATTATATTTTCATTCTACTACTCGCCAATGTCGATGTTATTCCAAAACAAAAACAACTAAGTACTGTCTAAAACACGAAAGAAAATCTTATCCATGTCATCCATGTCAAAACTAAAAGACAGCAGATCGTGTTTCATAACTAGATGACGTGTAGTTTATAAATGCGTGCAGCTCGTGCAAGGTGAAATTATGCTAATTTCAATCACCATCATCCTTCTTTTTAATTTTGAAAAAAAAAAAACATTTCATAGGTCTTTCTGTTTCTTCAAAACTTCAAAATTAGTTTCCCCTTAGTTTTTACTGTTTACCTTGTTTTGTTTTAGAGAGAAAAACGGAGAAAAACCTTACAACTAACCTCATTAAATGTTGTTTACATGCGGTTGGCGATTTGTGATTCATTGCGCTATCCGCCATGGCGCGTTGCACCCGAGAGGCAAAGTTTGAAGCAGTACAACGCCACTATATCAAAATATATCAATCTAATTTTTTGTTATGTTATATAAAATTTATCCCTCTTTAACATATGCAAAAATTGATGTTAAGAAGTGTTAAGCTTTTGCAAACGAAACGGCGAAAGACGATTAGGTGATATTTAGTGCAAGGAGGAGGTATTCAACACTTTCAAATTAAACTCAAATTTTGGCATTATACGACAAACAAGTTTGACTTATAGGCATACAGACACAAACATATGAAACTGTTTATTGATATTGTTATGAAACGAATTTATCTATTTAACATTGTAGCCTGAAATTACAGAAAGAGAATAGGATTTCCTGTTTGCAAAAAGGAAAATTTCGCCGGCCTTCAAGCGCACCGGAAGCGCGGAAAGAGCGCTCGTGCCAGTCCTACTCCGCATCACACATTAAATGAAGAGCGGAGCGCTCGTTTCACCGCCCAACATTTATCCGCCCTGGGTTGAAACGTGTAACTCGCGTTCAATGCTCGTGAATATTCACTTTTACCATATTTGGAAACCTTAGTGATGGATATCCATTTTCAACAAAATGGCTGCTGCGCGATCACCATGCAGATGTTTTAAGACAAGAGTTCTGCATTTCAAAGTTAAAAATACACCGTTAAAAGACAAAAATGGAAAGAGAAAGTTCAAAAGAATGCTCAGCTTTCTTTTTGTGGAGAAAGGGAAGCTTTTCATCAACAAATCGTCCTTCGAGGAATTCAACCTCGTTTTCTTCACGGCGGAACCATGGTCTGTTTTGAAATGCAACCAAGTCAGCGAAGTTTTTGCTGACTTTTCAGGTACATTTTGCACTCTATGGCCAAGACAATTACGTTTTTGAAAGGGAATTTATGTATTTTTAAATGTTTCATAGACGTTTTATATATTTTCTCTTCGTCGCTAGAGAAAAATTACAAAATGTGCCCTGATTTGAGATGGATTTTGTGTTGAATTTTGCCATGTGCTTAGCCGATTTCACTTGCGTGAACGGATCCACGATCCAGATACTGTTTTCCGAATTGCTTTAAAGGATTAAGTTTTTGGACTTTGAATAAAAATTTTCAAGAAAGGGCTTCTCTGTCTATTGTTTTGAGTTTCTTCATTCATAAAATTAGCTCAAAACATGATCGTGACTACAACATCCAAGTTTAATTTAAGCTTTTAAAATGCTTCTCACATTCATTACAAACATCACTTTTTGCGAAGATGTCAGGTTCAGGTTTTGGACACTTTTCGATACGCAGCTAATGAATTTTATTAGAAAATTATTTCACTGTTTATTCTAGACTTTTAACATAAGGATTTTAAATTTTAATTTGCAGTATAAGTTTACTATGCAGAGGGTCAACGAGGCATCGTTCAACTTCAAGAAGTTGCGAGGCCGTCAATGGGTATCATAATGTTACGTTTAATATCCTGTTCAGTGTTTCGGTAATATTCCTGGTTTCAACCTTTGAAAGCTTTCTCGGCTTTCGGGAGTTTTTCCCCCGTTTGTCGGGCATTTTTTAAGCGGGCGCGGGAACCTGAAGGAAAATTACGTCACGTTGTTTACGAAGTTTGATTGGTCAGTTATCTCTTCTTCTCGTTCCAAATATGGTACTTTCGAAAATGAATAATCACGGGCATCGGACAAAGCAAACATATGAGAGTTACACGTTTCAACCCCTTATGAGTTTCCGATATAATATAATAGGGTTACTTACTATTTTATTATCTACCTTGATCTCCAAACTATTCGCCGACTTACCACTGTTACGTGAAGTTAGCTCGTTGATATCGATTGATAACATTCCATGTTTTGCTCGAATTACCTTTGTTAGCTTCCAAGTCGTCTGAAAGCGGCCGACATAGAGTTTCTTTGCAAGTTTAATTGCGTTATTTGCCTGGTTTCTTGCACACTTAAATTGATCTCATGTAGCCGGATTGTCCGGGTTATAAGAGGATATTACTTTCTTTTTAAGGAAATCTCGTTTTCGGATTTTACTCAGTAACTCTCTATATTTAGTAACTCATGGAGATCGTTTTTTTCGAATTCTTTTCAATGCCCCTTTTTAATAATATCGTATTTACATGNACCTGAAGGAAAATTACGTCACGTTGTTTACGAAGTTTGATTGGTCAGTTATCTCTTCTTCTCGTTCCAAATATGGTACTTTCGAAAATGAATAATCACGGGCATCGGACAAAGCAAACATATGAGAGTTACACGTTTCAACCCCTTATGAGTTTCCGATATAATATAATAGGGTTACTTACTATTTTATTATCTACCTTGATCTCCAAACTATTCGCCGACTTACCACTGTTACGTGAAGTTAGCTCGTTGATATCGATTGATAACATTCCATGTTTTGCTCGAATTACCTTTGTTAGCTTCCAAGTCGTCTGAAAGCGGCCGACATAGAGTTTCTTTGCAAGTTTAATTGCGTTATTTGCCTGGTTTCTTGCACACTTAAATTGATCTCATGTAGCCGGATTGTCCGGGTTATAAGAGGATATTACTTTCTTTTTAAGGAAATCTCGTTTTCGGATTTTACTCAGTAACTCTCTATATTTAGTAACTCATGGAGATCGTTTTTTTCGAATTCTTTTCAATGCCCCTTTTTAATAATATCGTATTTACATGGTTTTTGCATTTTTGTGTGGACGGGCGAAAACGATTCAAATACGCCACGTAAGTATGGGTATTTTTTTTTATAAAGGGATAAAAAAAAATCTCCGTTACGTTTTCAAAAATATCCGGATACGTGGACGGGGCCTAAGTCGCAATCAGAAACGGGCTTTGAGAAAGTCTAAGTAGTCTGCCCTTTAAACGGTTTTTTTTTCTTTTTTTTTTTCTTGAACTGAAAGTGCAAAATAGCTTAAGCTTTATTGTTTGTTAAATTTGTTGCATTTTTGTCCTCACAGCCACTCTGCTTTGGAACGAGAATGAGTTTGCTGCCTTTTCAACCTTCTAGTTGCCCATTCCGGTGGACAAGAGACACGACGCCTCTTGGAACGAGATTGTAAGAAAATCCTTGAAACTCTTGCGTCCTAATGCCATGATGACACCTAGGTGATAAATAAATTGCACGGTTTTTCCCCCTTCTTGGCCAGTTCAGTGGAGTTCAGTGTGGACGCGACTTCGAAGATGTGCCCCTTCCATCTGCCATGATGACCGTTGTCATTGCATGCCCATGGCATTCCCTTTGTTCTGCCAGTCGCGGTTTCCTCCCATAGTTGGTTACTTTTAGGGCAGACAGAGAGCAAGGTGAACTTTTAAGGACGCGAAGCGGCCTAGCGAGGGAAGAAGTCGCGAGTTTTAAATGCGACAAAGGACTTTTACGAACTCTAATATGTAGTTAACGGCCGTAAGTGGGCTTTGATAGATTGTGCTAGCAAAGTAGTATAATATGCTATTGGCAGTGCTCGCCTATTTCTAAAATTATGCAATTATCCTAGGTTTCTGTAAATTATGCTTATTTACCAAAAAAGTAGAAATTATGCTCTTACTTTTTACTTTCAATTTGGTAAAAACACCTGAATGACTATGCAACAAACAAGTAAATAGCAAACCATTTAGCCTGCTAAAAATAGTTGTCGAAAAGTTGCTGAGTAGTATGGCTGGACGTGCATGTGAAACTTAAAAACGAGGCCAGTGAATAAGGAGGACGCTCAATTGTAAACACTAAATCTGGGGGGAAAAATGGTTGTATTTGAGGCTCTACTTAAAAGCCTTCCCAGTTTTCAATGTTCTTGAAACTTGCATGGTATAATTATTGACGATTTATCTGGGGATTCACGGCAAGTGTATAAAAAAATTTATCGTGCGCGGGATTTTTGAATAATGCGAAATTTGTAGGCATGGACCAGGAAGGGCGGGGGGAGAGGGGAGAAGGTAACTCTGTTGTTTTCCACCTAAGTTTCTTGACCCACTCCGCCTGCCAGTATGACGTCGCATTGTAACGGGCAAGAGCCTCGGGTCTTTTGTGCAAATTAGCAAGGGATACGACAGTTATTTGGACGAGAGAGGTCGAGGAAAAGCTAAGAAGCTAGCAAATATCGCTATATATCGCTAATTTTATCGAATCAGTGTGAGCTTTGGTGTTGCTATAATCTGCTTGTGTAAACCGTTTTGATATTTTGTGTCCGTGATTATATAATTTTGTTAATTTGTTTTGCGGGCCGTGTTGTGGGATCGCCATCTATTTCAGGGGACCGGCAAGGTTTTCAAAACTAAAATCTTTTTTTTCCCTAAAATAGGCAAGGTCTAGTCTCCAGAATAGGAGGTTCCATTCACAGATCACCCATGTTTATATTTCATCTATTCTTTTGCAAAATAAATGGGTCTAACTTCATATCATTCCTCTCGAGTGTGGGCCTCTGTTGATCTCCTGGACGCTTATTACATTTTACACCATTTTAAGCAAGTGTTTTATGTTTCTTTTGCAACAAAATAATAAATGGTAATAACAAAACACGAAGATGTAACAAAGCAAGGTTTCTGTAAAATACTCTGAAGAAAACTCCGTCTTCGGTGAAGTCTCTTATTAATACTTACTCAATTTTTTTGGGTGGGAGGGGAAATGGGGTGGGGTGGGAGTGGGCGCTTATTTGAGTTTGAATGGAAGTAGGGGGGACATGGGTTGGGGGAGGGCGCTTATTCGAGGCTGGGCGCTTATTAACTTTTCCGGCCTTTAGGATGGGCGCTTATTCGAGGTGGGCGCTAATTCGAAGTTGGGCGCTTATTCGAATAAATACGGTACTTGCCAAAATTCTCCTACCCAAAAAAATCCCGAAATCGAAAATTTTAAACCCCAAAAATTCTTTCGATCCTGGTCACTTGAAATCTGGAGTACACCCCCCGGAACTCAAGCTTCAAAACGTTCTAAAATCTATTAGTTACTGTGAACGTGAAGAATAAAGATGGTCGACAAACGTGATTTTTAGACTGTAAATGTGTGGAAAATACAAATTAGCCGGAGGACACTTGTACAAAGTGCTTACCACTGCTGGAAAATCCTCTTGTCTGTTTAGAGGGGAGAGGAACGGGCAGTTAAATTTCTTTTCTCCCTATTTTTTTCCCTCTTCCCTAATTTTTTCGGCCGTTTCTCCCTCTTCCCTGATTTTTCACCTTTCTCCCTGATAATTCTTTTAAAAGGCTTATTTTATTTGCTACTTCACCGCAGTACCTTCTTTTAAGACACGTGGAAACGAGGCAAACATACGAAATTTATATTTCGTTCTTCCCATACTACCTTTCGGTTTTGTCACGTAAGATTGAAGGTTTGATGTTTACAGCATTTATTTTAACTACCGTATAAAGGTCAGAATGGTTACTCACAACTACTTGCTACTAGTTACTACTACTACTAAATCAATCTATGCATCGGGTGTAATTCAATGAACTTGTAGAGTTTATTTCACATTGCTGGGCGTTAATTCTTCTGGTGTTTTAGCGTTAGGTCATAAACCATGCAGCGTTAATTTAACCTTATACTACTACTACTACGACTACTACTACTACTACTACTACTACTACTACTACTACTACTACTACTACTACTACTACTACTTACTACTATCCACCTCAAATTCTGTTAACGTTACTTAGAGGTTAACAATAAGGCCTCTAACATAGCTTGCAGAGCTGAACTTGATAGATTGCCGCTGCTTATCCCGATAAATCAGAAAATTATGAAATATTTTGTTTACCTCAACAACAAAGATAATGACTCTATAGTCAAACAGTCTTTCATTATGTCAAAGAATCTACATTCTATGAATAATTCAGGATATTCTTCCAATTTCATAAACATGTTTGAACAATACAATCTAACCAGTTTAGATGCTGAATCTCTAGATAATGACAAAATTAGACGATATACCACAGAAATGAGAGAGAAATATCTATCTTTTGGCGGCACAGCCTTGAAAATTCAAAAAAACTAGAATTTTATAAAACTTTTAAAGATGAATATTCTACATCTGATTATCTCTACCAGCTAAAACATTATGACGAACGACAGAATTTTGTTAAATTTAAAATAAGTAATCACAAACTTATGATTGAACATGGTCGATACCAAATCGATCATTTGCCAAGAGAAAATAGATTATGTCCCTTATGTAACTCAAATCAGGTAGAAGATGAGATTCATTTCCTCTTTCAATGTAACAAATACTCAGTACAGAGACAGGCATTTATTAATCAAATCAATCGAATAATACCTGACTTTGACAAGAAATCATCTCCAGGAAGCATAAAACTGATAATGAATTCGAAGGACCATCATGTAGATAAGTTAGTTATGAAGTTTGTTTCCTCCTGTATGAAAATACGTGATTCATTGTTAGTAATGTAACCGAATTTTTCTAGATTATTATTAGTGCTGTTTGTTTTATATTTTGATTGTCATATGCACGCTTTTGCAATACTGTAAAATGATGCGGTCATGCAAATAAAGCAATTTATTACTATTACTACTACTACTACTACTACTACTACTACTACTACTACTACTACTACTACTACTACTACTACTACTAATAATAATAATAATAATAATAATAATAATAAACAAGGAAGGAGACTTTCGAGATTCAATTTCAAAACAATCTTCAGTAACACCGTAAACGGCTTTCACGTGAAAATAACATTCACTCACCTTGATACTAAAAAAACTCCGAAAACTTCAGATTCTCTAAAACCGACACGAAACAAAAGAAGTAACAAAAGCCCGGAATTCAGACAGACCAGTGCTGTCATCACCGCTCGGCCAAGACTGGGTATGGTGTACAAATGATGACCTCACAAGACTCCCGAAGGGAGGGCACGAAATTGTTGAGACTACATGCGAGAACTCTTACATACACTTTAACTTGCAGCTCGTGGCCAAAGCTGCCCTCATCTGTGAGTCAGTATGGTCCTTGAATTAAGAGCTACTAAGGCCTTAAATATTCATGTCACATTTTTTTAAAGAACATTCTCGGTCCTCCCTTTCTGAGCTGGTTTTCCCGTCTCCCTATTTTTTTGCTTCCTTTCTCCCTCCTCCCTATCTTTTTTGGCCGTTTCTCCCTCCTCCCTAAACCGTCCCTCTCCCCTCTGTTTATTAAATTAGATATCATAAAACGGCTAAACGGGTAGTAGTACAGTGGCAATTTCATACGCTTTTTAAAATAAGCTCCAAGGCTTATATATCCTGAATATGGATCGTATGCGACTTAAAATAGAGATAACCACGGTGTATCGCTTGATTCTGCTCTCGCCATTAATGCCATTCACAGAGTATTCTCAGTTGGAAGATTTTAGATTTGGCGCCAATTGTTGGCATGTGATTGTGGAAGGAGAGCTTTTTTTTATTATGAACTTCGTAAACTTTCTTAGGTGAAAGTCGAAAAGCTGGAAAACTACTGTTTGAGACTCAAATGACAGCAATAAAACTGGGATATGGGATTCGCACTCTCGCGAGGTTTATTTTACTTACGTTTTTTCGTAGTCGTGGCTGAGTTCCGGGTAGGTTTCGGTCGACCGAAACCAGCGTTCCTTGGGAAGACCATAAGCCGCGTCGTTCAATGCAATACAGCTGAGTCTATTACAGATTTAACATTTTTTTAGTGATATAAACTGGAAACGACAGTATTGACCGTTTTATAATTCAGACTGACTCAAATATAACGTCAAACAGAGAGCCTGTTCACAGGCTACGCGGCGATCAATCAAGTGAGCGCGCGGAAGTCGACGGGATCATTTCTGTCATTTTGTAAGACGCCGCTATCTGGTTGAGGTCTAGAGGTCGATGTCCCAGTGTTATCTAGTGCTTTCCCCGACGAGGCAACCTCGTTCCCAGGGTTCTCTCCAACCGTAGGGCGGGTAGGAGAGAACCCTGGGAACTAGGTTGTCCGACGAGGAGGAGATGACGTTTCCTCGCAAAGTGTGATGGTTAGGGACTTTCACGTCAGCACACAGGCGGCCCAGTAAGTGTCACTGAATGAATATATTAATATTCAAATGGACAAATTAATGCGATGAGTCATCGAATCTCCCATGAACTAAAATAGTCCAAAAGTCATAATATAACAAAACAAAGGTAAGATACCTTCAACTGAACGTATCCTTGTCTTTCCTGGCCGGTTTAAGTGGCATTTTGTTGAGTTTTGCAATTGTAGGTACTATCTACTAAAGAAGGTAGTGGAGTACTACGAAGATAACAATGCATTGGGAACAATTCAAGCAGCTACAAAAATATTCTTTTTGAGTAGTGGTAGTGACACTGTCACAGTGTTAAATGGAGAGTTATATGCAATCTCTTTTTGCTTCACACGAGACGTTATAGAAATCTACAAGCACAATACAGAAACCAATGATTGGGATGAAATGAAATCCTTACGTAGTTTACAGCAGTGGCCTTGTGTTGTAAATGATCAGCAATTCCTGTATGTAATAAGTGGAAGCGAGAGTAACATAACAGTGAGATTTGACTCTGGGCAGAACAATTGGAAGAAACTTGCAGCTGTAAATGAGGAAAGATTCAAAGCTTTTGGTGCTGCTATGAATGGCAAGATTTACATAGCAGGAGGATTCAGCAGTTCTAATTATAAAGGACTCACTTCCTGTGAGGTATACAACCCTCCTACAAATGAGTGGCAACTGATGCCGAGCCTCAAGGTACCTCGATACAATGCTAGCATGGTGTGTTTTGCAGGACAGTTGTATGTACTGGGTGGGACCAGAATCACCCAGAGGGGTGCTTCCATGAGAGCATTAGGAGTTGAAATGTTTGATTCTGAGAGATATCAGTGGACAGAGAAATCAGCCATACCAGTGGGAAGGTTTGAAAGTGAAGATGAAAAGAAGCAAAATAAGGCATTTCAGGCATGTGTTGCAAGAATCTGCAAAAGAGTGATAAACAAACTTGAGCCACTGAATCCAAGACCCAAGTAAGGTCAACTAGGTGTTCAAACTAAAAAAAATCATGAAACACTTTTAGGTATTGTATTATGCCCATTTTTAGAAGCATCTTAGAACTACCTTTAGGTAACAACTTTTTGAGTTAACAGTCACTACAAAAATTTTCTTATTCAAATGATGCAAGCTTAGGAAGCCAAAAAAAGGTCTCGAAAAAGCAAAGTGAACAGAGAAAATACAAATTAAGTATTTCTTAAGCATAATTTGCCTAGGAGGTGTTTGTATTTTGATTAAAATTAAGAGCCTGGTTGAGATCTTGTTTTCTAAAATCAATTTTAATTTTTCATTATATTGCGAGAACATGGAAGTTTTACAATATCAGCAGTAATATCAGGAGTAAAATAACTAGTATCGAAAATGGGATATTGAAAGTTCACCTGTTTTTATGATGGGATGTCATTTGAAATTATGAATGTAACATCTTGAAATGGGGTACCAAGTGGGGAGTTTTCACCGGCGAAAATTGTCTGATTGGTCGACGCGCGACCACGTGACATTGCCAAATTCAACATGGCGGCAATACATCCATCGTTTGTTTATTCCAGTGGAAAGAAGTGAAATTGCGGCTTAATATGAGTTGCAAATGCATATACGGATATTTTTAGAATAGCCTAGACTTTTTATTATCCTTTTTCACCTATTCCTATGGGATTCGTTCCCTGCGATGCTCGCGTTTTGGCCGGTTTACCGGATTCAACTTTGCACTCTTCACGATCACGAAGGACAACAATATTTTTGATGAAAGCCGGGTCACTAGAAAGAACGGCCTTTGTTCACAGCTCTATGCAGCGGAGAAATAAGACACTATGGGTCCTTTGAAATTGCTTAGACACCTGGAAGTTATTTTATTACTTTTTTTACCGAAAAGATAAAGCAAAATTATGTCTTCTCCAGCAAGACTTTCTAATTTATAAAAAAAGCTTGAACATGAGCTAAATGAACTGTAGTGTCTGCATTCATGTTCTTTTCATTGCAATTTTAATATCAAAACTTTAAAGCCGTCTATGACCGAGCAGGTTTTTTTTTTCTTTTTTTCTTTTCAATGGTTACTGTGCTTGATCTGAATAAGATAATGAAATTTTTAAAATTAGGGCAATACTATATATAAAAGAAGAGAACTTTGATTGCAAATATGTTAGTTGGAAAAAATACTGATTATACTATATGATCTTTTTACTATATAGGTTAGAAAAGTGATGAGTAGTCAAAAGTGCTACAAAGGAGTAAAAACCCAGATCTTTCCATTAATAAATTTTATTGACACTGTCAGGGACATATACTTTGCTTGAATACACATTTGTTCTTCAAAAATCTTGTTTGTGAAGCTGCACTTTGTTTGATTCAGGATCAATCAATCTTTTCTGAAGAGAAATGAACAATAAAGTATGTTAGCATGTCACTACTTCAACACTGCCTTAGCCAACAACTAAGAAGAAACTCAACTTCATATAAAAAAAAAAAAAGTGAAAAATACTTCACTGTAAACCAACAACCGCTTCAAATATATATCACATTAAATTCATGCAAAATGTAGACCTGATGAGAAGTTTATAGGAAAAGAAACAAATGATAATTACAATGAAACTATAATGTTTGAATGAGATCTGTATTTGAGAGTTCTCTCATAATTCTGACAGAAGATCAAAATAGGAAACTGCATATCCTACACAACTGCATTCATCAACATGATCCAACTAAAATTTCATGAAGACTAAAAGTTTACTCCAAACTTTAAACTCCTGTAAGGTTTTTCCCAGGTTTGAATCACATTGAATGCATATTTAAACAGTAATTAGATCTGTGAAACATTAGAACGGTGCAATGTCGTGGAAGGTCTGGGACATTACTGAGACTCTAACAAAATCCTTTGGTGCGAGTTCCAAAGCCGCCTACTATTATTTTATTATGAGCCTGCTACTTAAAAACTTTTTGACAGCCCTGATATTGCACAGTAAATAAACACTGTTGGATATACACATGCAAGCGGTCCATGACCATCATGCTACCTATCCCTTAATCAAAAAACCTACAAATCGCCTTTTGCTGACTTTTTCACCTGATTTTGCATTAAATAGCCAGATTTGGTTGTTTTATGCTGAAAAGTGGATTTTTCTCAAAAAGCTTGGTACTTTGCTTACAGCTACAGTGTACATTGTAGAGCAGTCCCCTTTTGCTACGGCCCAAAGACTGGACACAGTGAACTCAAATGCTGTATTAGCCAATGGAATAATTCTAAGATGCATTTATGCTGTAGTAGCTAATAACATAAGATGTAAGAACCTGTGTTCCTGTTTCTTTATGATTCGTTTTACAAGGGATTTGAATCAGAGATCGTTAACATTGCCAGTGTCAAATGCTTGCTTGTCAGGCGAGTCGGATGCGACAGTTACACCTCAAGATAACTATCTTATAAGCTAATACAGTGTTACTACATGTACATCTAAATTATTATTTCTTAGCTAATACACTGTTTGGGTTCTCTGTGGACAAAGAAAACTGTCTGTAATAATGAGCTGTCCATAAAGTGGTGCTTATAATTTCATTTACCAGCAGTTCTTTTTATCTTAATATTCCAGATGGTATAAAAATTTAATTACGAACAACTTACTATTTGAAACTGGCTACAGTGTTGATGGGATGCTACAGTGTACAATAATACTTTGAAGGGTCTGACTGCACTCTTATCGATCATAGTCATTGCCTCCTGTGAGCCAATTCATGGATGAATTTGATACATGTACAAAAGAAAATCCAACACTCAACAATCAGAAAGATGTAATACTATGTGACCTCATGATGGAACTTAAAGAAAGGAAATGTATATTATTTTTAAGTTACATGTATTTTCTTACCCTTTTTTTAAGTTATGTAAATTGGTCTTTTGTTGAAGAAAATGAAACAATGTCAAAAATTAATGTTTTGCTGTGCATGCATCAATCATGCAACCATGAATTTGACAAAGGTTTGGAATTGAAAACTGGACAAGTTTGTACTTGATGTACCAAATTTCTCACCGGCTGAAACTAACAAGCATGATGTGCCAATTTTTGGCTCTAGCTGACATCGTAAATAAGAAAACCCATATTTTGGAAAGCATTTTTTGGCAAAACAAGAACTGATTATGCGTATACATATTATAAAACTTAAAAGTACTCAATCACAATTAATAAATACACAGTACAGGTAAACCCCCAATGCTAGCAATCTTCTGTGACCCAAAGAGGGCAAGTATGCTGGTGTAAAAAAAAAAAAAATACTCCAAGGATTGCTCTACAGAGATATAACCATCCCTTTTCAGGGCTGTCATTACGTTTTGAAACAGCCATAGCAAATGAAGATTCACCCAATACAGGTCCCAAAAATTTAAATTACCACCTTCAGCTTTCCACTTTGATCACCTGTAACATCAAGTGAGCTCAGCTGTAACAGGTGTTATGGGTTACGGCCCCTAATGACAGCTCTGCCTTTTTATTTTAGACAATTCTCAGTTTATGAAAAGCCAAAACATTTTTATTCAATCATTACATGTAGATCTCATTACACTTTTATCCTTCTTTGGAACATTACCTGCTATTTTTCAAGATTATTTCACAAAAAAAGACTTTACATAATTATCACAAATATACCTGATCAGCATCTAATATAAAATTTTATTCTAATATTGTAGTCAATTTTTTATTGCAGTTAATTTATAATTTTCTGTTCTTTTTGTGTATGGCAATGTATGCTAAAAATAAAAGAAAAAATAATATTTATGCTGAGATACAAAATTAACTGTGCACAACATACACGTATACATAGATTAACAGCCAAAGAATTCTCAGTGAAATACAGAGGGGCAAATTATTATGGAACAATCCACCTGAAAACATTAATGCCATGGCTGATTAAAAAAGATGTCTAAGTACAAGTACAGAATAACTTCCAGCAAACGTTCAGGAAATAGTTTAAATTGTAATATAAGGTGCCAAACATGATAGGGCCATTTTTGTTCTCAGTTAAAAAAACAACTTTGTGCACGCATAATGCATGTACGGTCTCTAGGGAAAATACTATTTTTTTCACTTTCGATCGATCAAAATCGTGTCCCATTTGACACACATTCTAAAGAGAAAACGCGCTGATTTAGATTTAGCGGTCTTCCTATTAATTATAATTATAATGATTATTATTCTGTTGCTCAAACGGCCCTCCACCAGCTGTACCTTTCAATTTTCTCTTGTGTTGGACTGTGGGGCGAGAAACTTTAACCTGAGCATAAAATGCCAGCGAAGCTTAATAAATGAAAATTCGAATGTTTGAGGATACACTGAACTAGACCTCCAGAGGGTCCCTGAACTTCAAAGGTGCAAGTCGATATTTGGTACGAAAGCGGTCCACACGTTTAACACAACTGCCGCTTCCGTGCACAGCGGTACAAGCTAATTTATATACATAACAAAGCTCAATAATTTTTCTTTCACTTCTTTACAATTTCCTGTTGTACCGATGTGCACGAAACTAACAGTAAGCATAGAAAGTCAAAATTACCCACCTTTTTGACATGCCTTTCGCACCCATGCCGGCGATTGCAAAGCCAATATCTCCGACAAATACCCACCACTGGGTTTGTCCGCCGTTTCCAAGGCGCTACATTTTCTAGAGAAAACATTCCACTCGAAACTTTCACCAAAATGTTTTTTGATCTCTTACTATGGCAAGAAAACCACAACGCTATCACTGTCAAAAAAACAGCCATTATTTTTTTCATCTCAACCGGCATTTTTGCCTCAGAGCCAATGACGTTGCGCGAAATAGATCACGTGTCATTTTTAGTAGAGCATGCGCGGACATTTTTCGCCGGTGAAGACTTTAACTAGAGCCGGTAGCTGGCCCAAGTTTTTAGGAGAAATTAAGTGATGGGTTAAAAGGTCAATAAGGAAAGACGCTAAAAGTTACACGCACAAAAACCTCTGCTGCATTTGATTAGATCTTAT